TCCTCACCCGTCGTCGCCGCTCCGTCATCCCGTCGCGTCATCCCTCCCCGCCTCTATCCTCAACGGCAACCTGTGAGGGCACCTTGCAAGTCCTCGCTGTGTGGTCGTCGCGTCGTCGCTGCAGCCCGCAAAACAATCTTTTGGAAGTGCCATTATGAGTTCAAATGTCATGTCTTCCATCCCAAGTCCACAGTTCTATACACCCCGCCATTCACGGCATTGGTGGCAGCCTGGATCTCTGGAAGTCGCGATTGCATCGGAATCGACTGCCGGCCTGCTCGCCGCATCCGCTGCCGAGGTCGCCGGCCTAGGACCCCCGCAACACCTTGGCATGCATGGCATCCGCCCCGATTCCCGCCCCCTTGCCATCACCCCACAAAAAAGCCCAGCCAGCGATCGGAGTGAGGGTCGGAGTGAAGAGGATGGGAGTGAGGATCGAAATGAGGATCGAAGTGGAGAATTGCAGGGATGGTTCTTCGGAAGGCAGGGTGAGGATCGGAGTGAGGATCGGAGTGAGGATCGAAGGAGGATCAGAGTGAGGATCGGAGTGAGGGTCGAACGAGGATCGGAGTGAGGATCGGAGTTAGGATAGCTGGGGGTAGCCGTCCCCGCGCCGTCGTCCCGCGTTGTCGTGTCCGCATCCTGCCCGCCTCGTCGTCGCCGCGCCGTCGTCTCCGTGCGCCGACGTCGTAATCGCCAGCACCTGGCCGCCGTCGTCTCCGTGCCCACGAAGCCGTCGCGTCGTCGTCCGCGCGCCGTCGTCCCCGTGTCGGCGCGGCGTCGTCACCGCGCCATCGTCCCCGCAGCGTCGTCTCCGCGCCTCTCCTGGATCCTCACCCCTATCATCGGGGTTTGTACTGGGACAAAGGGTCAGGGCACACATTTATCCGGATAAATCTCTGGGGGCCTGAGATTCTGGGGGAGGGAACTGCAAATAAAACTCTAGGCCTAACCCTTTAGCGCAGGCAATCGTCGACCCAAATATGTTTGTCAAAATCGCACAACATGTACACGGACATGGCTTGGATAAAACCCTCGGGCCCAACCCCGAGAAGCAGTGCACGGCTGGAGACTTGACTGATTTAGGGGGCTAAGGATAAAAGCCTAGGGCCCTAAGACATGCTCAAGAGGGCTCGCCGCAAAACGTTCTGCCATACAGAGTTTTATTTAGCCTAGCCCGCCGAAAACCCAGCTGGCCAGACCCCGGCCCTCGGAATCCGCACCACCTGAGCCTACCTGGGGTTTTATCCGGGCCACTGGCCAGGCCAAGGGCTGGCTGGGATATCTAAAGCCACACAGACTCTTAGGAACAAAGTCCGCCCCGTTTCCCACAGAGAAGCACCAGAATCACCCGAGCCCCTAGGATAAAACCCTTCCGACCCAACCCCCGAACCCTGCAAACCCGACCTGGGTCAGAATAGCACATGATTCACATGGCAACCCATACCTCTCTCTGGTTCTCTGCTTAAAGAGCGACATGCCGTGATTTATGTGATTTGGTGCAGGCTGCAATCTAGGCTGCTGCATGCCTGCGGGACTCGGGAACAAGCTTCTAGGCCACACGCACAGCAGCAATGATTACAATGATTCTTTCTGTTCCTTCAAATCAAGCAAGCATCGCCTGGATAAAACTCTAGGACCCGACCCCCCAGGAGGCCTTGAAGCATCAACAAAAAACCCAGCCCAAGATCACAACCCCTGGCCCAGATAAAACTCTGGGGCTTAACCCCGCGGTACGAGCAGCAGGAAGCTGGATAAAGATAAAGTTTGCGGCTTGACCCCTGGGGTTTCATCTGGGCAGTACAGACCCCGATCCCTATCCTCACCTCTATCCTCACCCCATGTCGTCGCCCGTCGTCGTCCGTCCTCGCCTCTATGCGCTCACCTCGCTCCGCTATCCTCACCCGGTCCTCGCCTAGTCATCGCTGCGTCGTCGTCGCCACGTCGTCGCCGCGTCGTCGCCGCGTCGTCGCCGCGCCGTCGTCGCCGTGCCGTCGTCGCGTCGTCGTTGCCGGTTCGTCGGCTCCGTCGTCGTGGTCGTCGTCGCGTCGTCACGTCGTCGCTTCATCGTTCCTGCCCGTTGTCGCCGCATCGTCGCCGCGCCGCCGCCCCTGCTTGTCGCTGCCACGCCCACGCGTCTTCGTCGTCGCCGTCGTCACTTCGTTGTCGACGAGTCGCCGTCGAGCTGTCGTGTCATAGCGCCGTCGTCGCCGCCGCGTTTCCCGCGTCGTCGCCGCCCCGCCGCCTAGTTTCCGCGCCGTCATCGTTTCATCGCGCCGTCATCGGGCCGTCGCGTCGCTCTTCGGTGCGCCGCGGTGCACCTTCGTCGTCGCCGCGCCGGTCTTTGGTGCATCCCGGTGCACCGTCGTCGTCGTCGCCACCCTTCGGTGCCGGCATACCGCCGTCGTCGCCCAAGTCGTCATCGCCACCCCTTCGGCGACGGTGCAGCCCGGCGCAGCACCGTCATCGCCGCAGCCGTCATCGTCCCTTAATTCGGTGAGTCGTCGGACCAGTCGTCGCCGCTGTTCGCCCGTTGTCGCCGCGGTCGTCATCATCGCCGCCGTCGTCGTCGTCGCATCGTCGCCGCCCTGCGTCCCGCGTCGCCGGCCAACATGCAGGACCTATAGTGAGCCGCCACCGTCCGAGCCGTCGCCGTCGTTTCCCGGCCGTTGTTTGGCTCTGGGATAACATTTGTAACACGGCTCTGGGTTACATTTGGGGTAACGCGGCTCTAGCGTAGGATTTGGGGTAACATTTAATTTGCGGTAAAGCGGCTCTGGGGAACATTTCGGGTAACGCGGCTCTGGGGCAACATGGAGGCTCTGGGGTAACATATGGGGTAACACGGCTCTGGGCGTGTCTCTGGGTATCGCCACTCGGCCGTCGCTGCCGCTCGCCTGGCGCATCGCCCCGGCGCCGTCGTCTCCACTGGATCGTGTCGTCGTCTCCGCTACGTCCCCGCCGCGTCGTCGTCGCCACCCTGACGCCCCGTGCCCGAAGGCGTCGCAGCATCGTGTCGCCGCAGTGCCGGCCCTTCGTTGCACCCCGGTGCACCCCCGGTGTCGTCAGCGTCGTCCGAGCCGAAGCCGCGAGCGTTCGCCGTCGCCCGGTGTCCTCGTCCCCACTCGTCGTCCGTGCCGTCGGTCGTTGTCGTCGTCGTCGCCACCGTCATCGCTGCCTTCACCGTCGCCATCGTCGCCGCCGTCATCGTCGTCAACACTCTCGGTGATCGCGCTGCCGTTGTGGTCGTTCGCGTCTCCGTGCTCGGGTGCTGTCGGTCATGTTCGCCGCTGGTCGCCGGTTGTCATCGTGTGGTCGTCACCGTCGTCCGCCGCCCGTCGCCGCCGTTGTCGTCGGCATCGCCGACCTGGGCATGGGATCCTCGTCGTCGTCGGGTCGTGCTCGCCGCCGCGTTGTGGTCGTCGTCGTCGCCGGGTCTTGTGCTCGCCGCCGCCGGTTGGCAGTGTTTCGATGGCGCGGGACCCCGGGGGCAAAACATGAGGGCCACCCCGGGGATGTGGATGTTACACGTCGTCGTCGTCGGGTAGTGGCTGTGCTCGCCGCCGCCGGTTGAAACATGAGGGCCACACCGGCACTCCGATTCTAATTCGTCCGTTTTGTCCTTGTGCCCGTGGAGGTTCAGCACTTCCTTGGCCCTCAAGTCGCCTACCCAACAGTTTTCCTGACCCTCCTGTCCACCGGCATCGAGCTGAGCATCGCTGCAGGCTTGGAGCTGAGCATCAACAGGGTTGCAAATGAGCATCAGGCAAAGGGCAACCCTCCAGGGTTTGACGAGCAAACTGTTGTTGGAGCTGTGGAGCTGCACTTTGGTCACTTGGAACGAGCAGTGAATCGAGTAGCGCCTCTGCCCGCACACTCAGAACTGAGTTCTAAACGAATGCACAGTCTGTACGATGCGAACCGCTGCTGAGGCTCCGGCCCAGGAAACCTGGCGAAGCAGGGCAGAGTGTGGAGGTGTTCAACACAGCGCCAGTCCAGTTCAAGTTGGCCAAGGTCTCAGCTACGGCTGCTGATGGAGCTCAGTCGGCGTGCAGCCAGCGCTCCCGCAAGTCGATCTTTTTCGAACAGCTACGGAGACGATTGGGACTGCTTCACAATGTTGTTGGCCGCGGCTTCTGCGTGCAGCTCGGAGGCGAACCGGTACTTCCTGTCCGGCATGTGCCAGATGACCGCATGGGCGCTGTTGTCCCGGATCCACTTTGCCACATCTCTTGGCAGCACAACGTTGCCGGCAGTCAATGCCCCGACACCCGTGCCACCAGCTCTGCGGTCTTGCACCAGGGCGTTCAAAATATTTGCGCCAGCAGGAACAACGCCGTCCAGCGTCTGCATCTTGCAACCGTTCAGGAAGCGAAGCACCTCGTCTCGCGCCTTCTCCTTCATCTCCTCCTTTTTGGCCACCAGCGTCGCCGGCCCCTTGTACTTTTCGCAGGTTCGCACCAAATCTTGAGCACGGTAGCCGCCTGAAGGACACTCCAACCAGTGCAGCACAGGTCCCCTCACGACAAAACAAAGCAAACAATGCGGCCCAAACGCAGGCTTGTGCGAATTGCTCCCAATCCTCCCGGTGCCCGCGGAGGGCCAGAAACTCCTTGGCTTCGTCATCAGTAAGGTCCTCCACCCAATAGTTCTTCTGACGTTGGTCGCCGCCGGCATCAAAGCTCAGGGCCATGGCGGCCGAGAAAGTATTCAGAACTGTGGACATGCGCAATGCAAGCATTCGGGACGTGTAGAAGCGCTTAGTGCTTGACTGCTCAACAGCATTTAGGAAGCTCCAAAGATTTTGGGAACCGCACTTGACTGCTCCAAAGCATTCAGAACCGAAAAGGCATTTGGGGAACAACTTGCGTCCAACGTGAAGCAAACTTCCGCTTTTGGGCCCTGGCTGCAGCTGCTTCGGCGGGGCCTGGCACAGCTACAGATCTTGATTCTTGCAGAAACTCTCCCAAGGCTGCACTCAACGTCACGCCCTTCTTCAGTTATGGCGTCGACTGGGAGCTGCTCTTCAAGATCTCGGTTGCTACTTTCGCATGCAGGTCCGACGCAAATTGGTACTCCTGCTTCTGCGTGTGCCAGATCACGGGGTGATAACCCCGCTCGCGGATCCACATCGCCACATCCTTCGGAGATGCAGCGGTGCAGAGCTCGTCTGCACCTTTGCCGGCCTGCCTGTTGGCCAGCAGCTGGTTTAGGATTTGCTCTCCTGTGTCACCTGCGATCTTGCACTGGTCCTTGAAGCGCAGCACCTCTTTGCGGGCCCTCTTCTCCATCTCGGCCTTCTTGGCCTCCACCGAGATGTCGCAGGCGTCAACCAAGTCCATTGCATTGAAGCCACCTGAACACCATGATAAAACAAGCACCGCACCTGCAGTCCGCCAGCAAACAACGCAAGCAAGGGGCATGCATCCACGAATCGCTTCCAATCATTCTGGTGCTCGTGGAGTGTCAGCAGCTCTTTCGCCTCCTTCTCAGTCAAGTCGCCCACCCAGATGTTTTTTTGGCGCGCGCTGCCACCTGCGTCGAAGGAGATGGCCATCGCGGCCGAGGAGGCACACACGATCACCTCGGAAGAAACCCTGCGGACAGCTTGCACAAGACCCTACCGCAGCACAGCGAAACAGGGCGGCTGAGTCTTCGGGTCCCGGCGTGGACCAGCTTCCTGTCCGACGACAGATTCTTGGCGAAGCTGGAAATCGTTTCCATGCCTCGGAATGCAGCAAAGCAAGTAGCCAAGGGAAACGAAAGCCCCAACGCCCCCCGCCTTGCTTCGTGGTTCGTGGGATGTCAAGCAGCAGGATGGGCGGCCTCTTCAGCTTGTCACCCACTCGACCAAGAACCTCCTCGAGAATGTCCGGCCCATCCAGGCCCAAGCGCTTGAAGAGCTCCTCCTTCCAGTCGCTGCCGTCTACCTGGTGGACGAAGACACCCTGCATGTCGCGCAGGGCCTCTTCGACAGCCACGGATTTGCCGGCGCCGAAGCGCCCCGCAACGATGGTTGCATGCGCATCCCAGCGCAGGATCCGCTCTTCGATGGTCTTCATGATGCCGCGCTTGACCACTTCGGCCTTCTTTTTCTGTGGGGGAAAAGGCTGCATCATGCGGTCCACCGCAAATTCGATTCGGCCCTCTTTGGACTCACGCAGGCTTTGTTGGTACGAGGCCCAACCCTGCACAGCCTGAGATGCTGTGAAGACAAGAGTGCCGATGGAAATCGCGAAGTCGAAGGTGGTCTTGCCTTTCAGAAAGTCATCCAGTGCTCGCAGCTCCGCTCGTGGTCTCTCCACTCGCCTTGCTGTTCCCCCGGACAACGCAACCTGGCTTGCGGCATGCAGAGATCTATGAGTGCCTGCAGGTCGAAACCCCCGGCCTTGGTGGCGGGCAATGCTCGACTCACAGGAGGGTGCTGCGTCACCCTGCGCACCTGCAGCAATTAAGATACTGTCTCAACACCTCCAGCCTCCTTTACCGGCTCCCGCCTGCGCCACAAACGCCGGCGCCAAAGCGGTCAGCAGAACCAGCGCGAGCACTCCAAGGCTTCGTGACGCCATGGCGGACGAGGAAAATTAGAAGATCGCAGATGAAGCAATTCGAAAGCCCATGCTGCGCAACGGTAGGATCCCTGACAACAAATCAGCGCAAATAAAGCCTTCAATCACGCGCCCCAACACAGCACCCCAATGCCTCCAGAAGGTCGTCATGCTGTCGTGGCCGGTGCCGGCACGCCAAGCCGGCCGGCCTGCGGGTACAAACCTCCCCAGTGAAGGAAGCGAGCAGTAGCGGCCGACCAGGAATCTGAAAAGCGCCTGCAGCAAGCAGCAGTGGACCGACTCCGGCCTGCAACGGCACCAGAACCACCAAGCAAAGCCAATGCGAGCTTCGAGTGGGACATTGATGCAGCCACGCACTGTTCAAGAGCCCTAGTGGCAATCGTCAACGCGCAATCGAGACACAACACTGGCGGAGCAGCAGTCACGACCCAACCTGGCTCGCGAAGCGAAGTCGTGCCTGGCCAGAGTGGGCAGTCCTACTCCGACCTGGGGCTGCGGCCGTTCCTGCTGACCCAAGCCACTCCTCAGCCTCGCGAATCGCTCCACAAGACGACCGCAGCAAGACCTGAGCGGTGAGGCGGTGAGGAGGGGGGCCTGGGTTCCTGCAAAGAGATGGAGCTGCAAGACATTCAAGGCCCTCCTGTGCGCGGACAGTCCACTGCCTGGCAGCCTCCGAGCTCCCCAAGCCTACGAAAACCCTGAAGCGTGGCCCTGAAAACCCCAAGCTTGACACGGGCCCCGGCGCGAAGAGGACGGCGACGAACCTGGCAAGGAGACCCGGGCTGCGGGAAGAGGAGGGAGGAAGTGACCGGGGAGACGCACACACTCTTAACCTGACCTGACAGGCTGCACCTCCAGCCGGAGCCGGCGAAAGAAACACCTTAGACGCGGCGAGGGGCCGGGGCCTTCTGGAGAAGCAGGGGCGGAGGTCTCACCAGCACGCTGCACTCCACCAACTCTTGCGCCGAGCTCACAGGCCCCGGCGTCAAAACAACTGGCCGGACCCGCCCCGACACTGTGCGACTGCGGTGCTGTGCCTACTGTGTCTGCTGTGCTTGCTGCCTTGCTGCCCTGGAGAAGGCGCGGCGCGAGCAAGTAAAATCAGAGCCAAGCAACATCATGTAAGCCATGCAAAATCGTGCAAAAACATGCACCCCTTAGCTATTTTAAGGGCAAGGGTCCCCTACATTTAGAGCCGAAAGGCGGAAAAAAAGCGCTTTATTCCTTTTGGGTGCACGGGGGTTTAGGGCTCTTTTCGAAAAAGCAATGAGGGCCTGAGCCAAAAATGGGGCTTTATTGAGCCATAGAATTCCACACCCTCGCGCTGCTCAGCTTCGGCTCGGGCGCGCTTGTGCTGCTTAGCTTCGAGGGCGGTGGCTCGCCTCAGAGCACTTCGGCCTTCAACACGGAGTGCTGGAAGGCCTGGGTAAACTGTCAAGGCTCGTCGTCATCGTGTCGGACTACTTGTCTTATATAGTGGGCAAGCTCAGCTGCGACTGGGAGCCGCGACCGTCCGGTTCGCCGGGGGTGGACTCCGCGGCTGCGGCGGAAGTCTCGATGTTGCCAGGTTCGCCAGGCCCCGCCGAAGCAGCAGCAGCCAGGGCCGAAGTTTGATTCACGTTGTTCTGATGCTCACTGCAGAATCGAGGAATCGGAAGTGCCGGGGTGGCCCTCATGTTTTGCCCCCGGGGTCCCGCGCCATCGAAACACTGCCAACCGGCGGCGGCGAGCACAAGACCCGGCGACGACGACGACCACAACGCAGCGGCGAGCACAACCACGACCCGACGACGACGAGGATCCCATGCCCAGGTCGGCGATGCCGACGACAACGGCGGCGACGGGCGGCGGACGACGGTGACGACCACACGATGACAACCGGCGACCAGCGGCGAACATGACCGACAGCACCCGAGCACGGAGACGCGAACGACCACAACGGCAGCGCGATCACCGAGAGTGTTGACGACGATGACGGCGGCGACGATGGCGACGGTGAAGGCAGCGATGACGGTGGCGACGACGACGACAACGACCGACGGCACGGACGACGAGTGGGGACGAGGACACCGGGCGACGGCGAACGCTCGCGGCTTCGGCTCGGACGACGCTGACGACACCGGGGGTGCACCGGGGTGCAACGAAGGGCCGGCACTGCGGCGACACGATGCTGCGACGCCTTCGGGCACGGGGCGTCAGGGTGGCGACGACGACGCGGCGGGGACGTAGCGGAGACGACGACACGATCCAGTGGAGACGACGGCGCCGGGGCGATGCGCCAGGCGAGCGGCAGCGACGGCCGAGTGGCGATACCCAGAGACACGCCCAGAGCCGTGTTACCCCATATGTTACACCAGAGCCTCCATGTTGCCCCAGAGCCGCGTTACCCGAAATGTTCCCCAGAGCCGCTTTACCGCAAATTAAATGTTACCCCAAATCCTACGCTAGAGCCGTGTTGGCCCAAATGTCACCCTAGAGCCGCGTTACCCCAAATGTAACCCAGAGCCGTGTTACAAATGTTATCCCAGAGCCAAACAACGGCCGGGAAACGACGGCGACGGCTCGGACGGTGGCGGCTCACTATAGGTCCTGCATGTTGGCCGGCGACGCGGGACGCAGGGCGGCGACGATGCGACGACGACGACGGCGGCGATGATGACGACCGCGGCGACAACGGGCGAACAGCGGCGACGACTGGTCCGACGACTCACCGAATTAAGGGACGATGACGGCTGCGGCGATGACGGTGCTGCGCCGGGCTGCACCGTCGCCGAAGGGGTGGCGATGACGACTTGGGCGACGACGGCGGTATGCCGGCACCGAAGGGTGGCGACGACGACGACGGTGCACCGGGATGCACCAAAGACCGGCGCGGCGACGACGAAGGTGCACCGCGGCGCACCGAAGAGCGACGCGACGGCCCGATGACGGCGCGATGAAACGATGACGGCGCGGAGACTATAGGCGGCGGGGCGGCGACGACGCGGGAAACGCGGCGGCGACGACGGCGCTATGACACGACAGCTCGACGGCGACTCGTCGACAACGAAGTGACGACGGCGACGACGAGCCGACGAGGCGGCGACGATGCAGGCTCGACCCGGCACGACGCGGGGACGACGAAGACGCGTGGGCGTGGCAGCGACAAGCAGGGGCGGCGGCGCGGCGACGATGCGGCGACAACGGGCAGGAACGATGAAGCGACGACGTGACGACGCGACGACGACCACGACGACGGAGCCGACGAACCGGCAACGACGACGCGACGACGGCACGGCGACGACGGCGCGGCGACGACGCGGCGACGACGTGGCGACGACGACGCAGCGATGACTAGGCGAGGACCGGGTGAGGATAGCGGAGCGAGGTGAGCGCATAGAGGCGAGGACGGACGACGACGGGCGACGACATGGGGTGAGGATAGAGGTGAGGATAGGGGTGAGGATCCAGGAGAGGCGCGGAGACGACGCTGCGGGGACGATGGCGCGGTGACGACGCCGCGCCGACACGGGGACGACGGCGCGCGGACGACGACGCGACGGCTTCGTGGGCACGGAGACGACGGCGGCCAGGTGCTGGCGATTACGACGTCGGCGCACGGAGACGACGGCGCGGCGACGACGAGGCGGGCAGGATGCGGACACGACAACGCGGGACGACGGCGCGGGGACGGCTACCCCCAGCTATCCTAACTCCGATCCTCACTCCGATCCTCGTTCGACCCTCACTCCGATCCTCACTCTGATCCTCCTTCGATCCTCACTCCGATCCTCACCCTGCCTTCCGAAGAACCATCCCTGCAATTCTCCACTTCGATCCTCATTTCGATCCTCACTCCCATCCTCTTCACTCCGACCCTCACTCCGATCGCTGGCTGGGCTTTTTTGTGGGGTGATGGCAAGGGGGCGGGAATCGGGGCGGATGCCATGCATGCCAAGGTGTTGCGGGGGTCCTAGGCCGGCGACCTCGGCAGCGGATGCGGCGAGCAGGCCGGCAGTCGATTCCGATGCAATCGCGACTTCCAGAGATCCAGGCTGCCACCAATGCCGTGAATGGCGGGGTGTATAGAACTGTGGACTTGGGATGGAAGACATGACATTTGAACTCATAATGGCACTTCCAAAAGATTGTTTTGCGGGCTGCAGCGACGACGCGACGACCACACAGCGAGGACTTGCAAGGTGCCCTCACAGGTTGCCGTTGAGGATAGAGGCGGGGAGGGATGACGCGACGGGATGACGGAGCGGCGACGACGGGTGAGGATACCGGTGAGGATCGAGGCGGGGACGGATAACGACGCGGCGACGACGCGACGAGGCGGCGACGCTGGCAAGTTGAAGCCCCAGTCTCGCTGCCGCAGTCGCTGCAGCCCCAGGCACCCTCACTGCAGCCCAGCCTGGCTGCCGCAGTCGCTGCAGCGCAGCTCCAGCTGCACCCCCAAGCGCCAGCCTCGCTGCCGCAGTCGCTGACGCCCAGGCGCAGTCGCTGCAGCCCCCAGGCCCACTGCAGCGCGCAGGCGCCCTCAGAGTTGTTGCAGCCCGGCGCTTTCTTAAAGCCCGCACTGCAGCCGACATGCCCTCACAGTCGCTTCACAGTCGCTGCGGCCCCGCTGCAGCCTCGCAGGCGCCCTGCAGCCCCCACAATCACCACACACCGCGGCCGGGGGGTGAGGTGAGGATAGAGGCGGGGATGGATGACACACGCCGACCAGCACCCGATGTGGACACTTGTGTGGATACTGATGCGGATACAGTTGTGGATACATTTGTCGGGACCTCGCGACGACGCGGCGACGAGACGGCGACGACGACGACGGTGAGGATGAGGATAGAGGCGGGGGACGGCTGACACGACAGCGCGACGACCAGCACTGATATCACTGATGGTGAGGGCCGGGGGGTGGGATAGAGGCGGGGACGGATGACACGACGCGGTGCCCTCACAGTCGCTGGTGCTTTCAGCTGCCCTGCCCTGTGGCCTCGCTGCTGCAGTGTCCAGGC